GGGCGCGCGCGGCGGAGCGGGGTGGCGGGCCTGGAAACCTGTGACGCCAGCGGCGGCCTTCTCGGCCCAGGAGCGGCGGGCGACCTGGTCGTAGAACACGCCCAGGTGGGCTTTGCGGACCTTGAGCTGGGCGTGGGCCGCTACCTGCGAAGCGAGCGGGGAATCCGCTGGCCGGAGGGCGCGCGGGCGCGCGCGGCAAGATGCCAGGAGGCAGATCTGCTTGTGTGCGAGAGCCGCGGCGAAGTCGAGCTGCTTCGTTGCGGCAGCGGCCAGAGCGTACCTGCGCCGCCGAGGAGGGTCCGCGAGTACGGTCGGCGGGCGGGACAGCGAGGTACTGGTCGAAGGCGAGGTGCCACTCGGGCCAATTCATCAGGCGAGGCTTGGCCCCGCCGCCCGCGCCCGCCTGGGTGGCATCGTCGTCATGTGGGCGGCCGACGGCGGACGCGCCCGTGGGAAGCCACAGGCGCAAGTCGACGTTGACAAAAGGGGCGGCAAGCCCTTTCTTCTTCTGTAGGCGGTCGACCACGGATGCGAGGGAATCGACGCGCACGGTCCTGACGCGACGCGGCCGGACGGGCGGCCGCGGACCGGCGAAACAGGCTGGGAGGGGGGGGGGCGCGCCTGGGCCACGCCGCGGTGGGCAAGTTGGCCAGGGTGATGGCGTTCAGCTGCGCCTGGAAGTCGACGTGAACCGTCGGGGCGTCATCCTTGGTGAGGATGCGGGTGAGCTCCGCCAGCGGGTCCGCTGCGGGTGCCGCTGGCCCGGCAGGCGCGGCGGTCCCAGCAGGTGCGAACTCCTTCTTCGCCGCCTGAACGGCGGCGGTCGCAGGGCGACCGTCGCGGCGGTTCTGGGCGCGCGCTTGCCTGTATCGCCTGGTCGAGGGCGTGAGCCTTTCCAGGCGAGATGTCAATCTTCTTTGTGTTGACGTACACGAGTGCCTGCGGGGTGTACACCTGTTGCACGGGACGCTCGCGCGGGTGGCCGCGCGGGACGGCCGGATCGCGCGCACGGACGCGCGGGCGGGAGCGGGAGCGCGCGCGCGGGCGGCGGACACGTGCCTCCGCTCGGTCGAGAATCGCGACCATGGCATTCAGCCATGTGTCCGGGTCTGGAGCCCCTGTCGCCATCGCATGCTTCTTGAGAAAGAAACGCAAGGCAGCGGCCGCCTCCATGGCGGCAATTGTTTGCGCGGCGAACGAAGGGAAACCTGGAGTCCGCTGCACTGTCCGCGCGGCGCGGCTCGCTCTGTCGCACGTTCGCGGAACACGAGGTACCGGGACTGGCGGGTCGGCGGGTGGGCGAGAGCCTCGGGAAAGACGAGGCCGAGGCCGACACGGCGAAGCCGCCACGAAGCACGATCGAATGCAAGCCTCGGAGAAACCGACGTGCGACCGGCGACGGGAACGGTAACGGGGCCCGAGTCCGCCTGCGCGCGAGATCACGCATGCGCCACGACTCCCGACACGCGGGCCCCGGAGAGCGGGGGGGGCGGGCGGGATGGCGGAGCCTCGTAAGCGAGCCGGACCGCCCCGCCCGGACCGTCCGCCGGAGCCGCCGGCCGTCCGTCGTTCTCAGCTGTCGGTGCCGCTTGCTCCCGCAGCTCGCGCCGGGTGTCCGCTGCCCCGAACGGGGCGCCAGGCCTTGGCGCGTCACTGTCACCCAGGAGCGGGGCCACCAAAAGGCCGTCCTGGGAGACCATAGGGCTAGCGGGTCCCAGTGGACCAACCGGTCACGTCCAACGATCGTGCCGGTGTAGGCAGGGCCCCAGTGGGCCTGCCTGCAGCCCTTGAGCGGGGGGGAGAGGGGTCCCAGTGGACCACCGGTCGCGTCCAGTGAGCGCGCCGGTACGGGCAAAGCCAACATGGGCTTGCTCGCTGCTCCCTGAAGGGGTCCCAGTGGACCTACCGGTCACGTCCAACGATCGTGCCGGTGCAGGCAGGGCCCCAGTGGGCCTGCGTGCAGCCCTTGAGCGGAGGGAGAGGGGTCCCAGTGGACCACCGGTCGCGTCCAGTGAGCGCGCCGGTACGGGCAAAGCCAACGTGGGCTTGCTCGCTTCTCCCTGATGGGGTCCCAGTGGACCCACCGGACACGTCCAATCGATCGCGCCGGTGCAGGCAGGGCCCCAGTGGGCCTGCCTGCAGCCCTTGAGCGGAGGGAGAGGGGTCCCAGTGGACCACCGGTCGCGTCCAGTGAGCGCGCCGGTACGGGCAAAGCCAACATGGGCGTGCACGCTGCTCCCTGAAGGGGTCCCAGTGGACCCACCGGTCACGTTCAATCGAACGTGCCGGTGCGGGCGGGGCCCCAGTGGGCCGAGCGCCCCCCGGAGATGATGATCCGGGCATCGCCACCTTGCCTGGTCGTGCCGTGTCCTGGCCTCAGTGGGCCGACGCTAGTGGAGTCAGCGTGATCCCCGATGGGCCCGATCACACTCCACATCTCCCTTGCCTGGTTGGCGCAAGCCGTCTAAATCCTTTTCCATGTCCTACCGCGCACCGCCGCGGCCGCTGCTGGGGCGCGCTGCGAGCCCAACCTCCACGAGATCTGCCACTGCGGGAAACGGGCTCGCTGGCGCCGCGACTTTAACATCGACCTGGTCGCGCGCGCGCTGCGTCTGGCGCGCTCGACCGGGACTGCACGGGCAACGCGAGTCGCCGTCTCTGCAGGAGTCCGGACGGGCCGGCCTGGCACCGGGGCCGATCCGGGCCGACCGACACGAGCCGAACGCAGGTACGGATGTCCCCGGCGGTCCGCCTGCCCGCCAGTGCGGGCGCGAGGCGCCGGGGTGGGTACTCGCGGACTTGCAGCAGGTAGTCTGGGTGTCACAACAACCCAGATCTCCTGCCGCGAGTCCACGAGCCCCGTGCGCACACTTGCGCAGATGCCCGACCATGGGCAGAAAAGAACTTTCGAGCCAAGCAAAACGACGAGGAGCGGACGGGGCGCCGGCCCGGGACCCAGCGCACCCGCCGCGAAACGAGCCGCGTCCAGCAGAGGCGACGAAGGAGCGGAGCACCGCGCCCAGGGAGGGACCGGGACGCCACCAGGGCCGGAGCGGGCCCCACCGGAGCCGGGGCAGGCCCCGCCGGGGCCAAAGCGGAAGCGGGACACGAAGCGGCGGCGGCGGCGGCGGCCACCGCAGCGGCGGCGGCGGGCACGACGGCGACGGCCGCAGCGACACACCGGCGGCAGCGGCGAGCGGCAGCACGACGCCCCGACGACGACGCGACAGAGCACGACGAGCCGACGCGACACGGACGCGACGGCGCAGCGGCAGCAGCGGCGGCGGCGGCGGCGCGACGCGCCAACGACGACACGACGACGCGGCGACGGGGCCAGAACGGGGCGCCCTTCGGCCTGGGCGCATCGCGCGGCCCGCCCACCTCGGCGGGTCGAAATCAATCTGCACGCGCGCGAGAGCGCGGCCCGCCCGCCTCGGCGGGGCCGCGATTGGTCTTGCGCGCGCTGAGCCAACGCGGCCCGCCCGCCTCGGCGGGGCCGCGGTTGTCCTGCGCGCGCGCGGGAGAAGGAGGAGGAACCTGCGCGCGCGGCGGGCGAAGCGGAGGGCGAGCGACCCGCCGACGCGCGGCGGGGCGGACGGCGCGGAGACCGGCGCGCGGGAGGACGGCAGGACCGAGAGACCGAGCGAAGGGACCGACGGCGGGACAGAACGGGAGGCCGAGGGGCCGAGAACAGGGCCGGCGGCGGGCCGCGGGGCGAGAGGCAAGAGGCGGGCCGGGGCGAGAGCGGAGCGAAGCAGAGGGGAAAGGGCCAGGCGCGAGAGGGGGCGGGAGGACACCGAAGGACAGAAGGGCGAGAGAGAAAGGGCCAGGGACACGGGGCCAGAGCGAAACGCCGCGGGGCCAGGGCCCGAAACGGCAGGCGAAACGCGCCCACAGGAAGATGGGCGCCCCGCCTGCCGCAAACAATTATGGAACCTGCGAGCGGCAAGGCTGGTCGGCGCCGCGGACGGGTCGCGCGCGCTCCCTCCGCGGCGGCCTAGCCGCCACGCATGACTGTTCCTGTGCGCGGCAAGGCTGGCCGGTGCCGCGGTGAACGCTCGCGTGCGCTCCCTCCGCGGCGACCTAGCCGCGGCGCATCCGACAAAACCGCGGCTCCATCTTTCTCGCGTTTCGCGTGTCGTCGCCTCGCGGCGAAGCGCCCCTCGCAACCTCACGCGCTCGCTGCGGGGCGCGCGGACGCACGCGCATCGCGTCCTCGCTGCTGTGCCCGCGAGACAGCATTCGTGCCTCGGCTGTTCGCTCACATAAACGCCATAAACAGAGTTTTTTGGCGCTCCGCGCGGATTTCTTCGATCCGCGCTGGGGCCCTTCGGCGGTACCTCCGGCCCCGCCCCTGGCGCGCTCCGCGCGCTGGGAAGGGGGGTCCAGCGCGGATCCAAAAATATTTGCGCGGAACGCCAACAGTTTATGTTTATGGCGTTTGTTCATTCTCTTTGAGACAGCCGCGGCGCCCGAAACATCCTCCCGAGCCACCGGATCTCAGAGATTCTTGATGTGTCCTCGCCCAGTTTTCTCCTCGCCCTGGCTTCGTTTTAGAGCTGCCTCGAAGGAGGGAGGGGCGGATGCGGACGCCGTAATTGAGGAAACTAGGCGCTTGGAGGGACATCGACGCGTCGTCGGGGATTTTTGTTTTGGGGGGAAGGTCTCACCCGCCTAGAGACCCCCAAGGGGTCGGCGGATTCATCCTCAGCCGATGTTCTCCTCGTCTTGGCTTCGTCCTAAAGGCTGGTTCGAAGGGGAGGAGGGGCGGGGGCGGACGCCGAAATTGAGAAAACACGCCGCTTGGAGGGAAAGCGACGTCTCCTCGGAGATCTGGGCGGGGAGCTGCTTCCAAAGAGGGAGTTGCTTTCGATGGGGGGAGAGACGTCAGAGGTTCTGGATTCATCCTCGCCCGATGTGTTTCCTCGTCCTGGGTTCGTCCTGGTGCTGCCTCGAAGGGGGGAGGGGGGCGGAGGGGGGCGCCACCCCCTGGCGCGCAGGACCGCGCCGCCAGCCTCGGACCCCAGCACGCGTCCGCCCTCGGCCGGGATGCGTCCGCGCCCTGGCCTCTCCGCGCCCCCCCCTCGGTGGTTCACAGGCGGGGCCCTCAGAGATGGGGTCCTCTTCCTCCTCTCGTCCTCCTCCTCCTTCTCCTGCTCCTCCCCCTCTTCCTCCTCCTCCTCCTCTTCCTTCTCCTCCTCCTCCTCCTCCTCCTCCTCCTCCTCCTCCTCCTTGTCCTTCTTCTCCTCCTCCCCCTTTTTCTCGGGGATGGTGTCCTTCTCCTCCTTCTCCTCCTCCCCCTCCTCCTGCCACTTTTCCTCCTCCTCCTCCTCCTCCTCGTGCCCCTCCGCCTCCTCCTCCTTCTCCTTTTCCTCCTCCTCCTTTTCCTCCTCCCTTTCTCCTCCTCCTCCTCCTCCTCCTCCTCCTGCTTTGGTGCCTGGGAGTTTTCTCGGGCGCGCGTGGGGTCGTGAGGGACGTGGTCCTAAGGATAAGCAGGGATCCAGGGATGGATTTGCGTTGTTCGAGGCACCTCGTTATATTGCGAGTGCGGCTACGACTTCGACTACCATGACTGCTGCAACTACTACTACTACTACTACTACTACTACTACTGCTGCTGCTGTTGCTGCTGCTACAACAACAACTACTACTATCATTACTACTACTACTACTACTACTACTACTACTACTACTACTACTACTACTACTACTACTACTTTTACTACTACTACTACTACTGCTACTACTATTACTACTACTACTACTACTACTACCACCACCACTACTACTACTACTACTACCACTACTGCTACTACTACTACTTCTACTACTACTACTACTACTACTACTACTACTACTACGACGACAACTACGACTACTACGACTACTACGACTACGACTACCGCTACTACTTCTACTACTGCTACTGCTACTACTTCTTCTACTACTACTACTACTACTACTACTACTACTACTACTACTACTACTACGACTACTACTACGGCGACGACGACGACGACTACTGCTACTACGACTACTGTAATACTGCTACCTCTACTACTAGTGTTACCACTATCGCTGCTGCTACTATCACATTTTTTTTTTTTTTTTTTTTTTTTTTTTTTTTTCTTTTTTTTTTTTTTTTTTTTTTTTTTTTTTAAAAAAAAAAAAAAAAAAAAAAAAAAAAAAAAAAAAAAAAAAAAAAAAAAAAAAAAAAAAAAAAAAAAAAAAAAAAAAAAAAAAAAAAAAAAAAAAAAAAAACTACTACTGCTACTATGACGTCGGCGGCGACAACTACTACTCTTACGACCATCATTACGCATATTATTGCTACTGCTAGTGCTCTCACAGCTACTGCTCCTGCTGCTACTGCTACTGCTATTGCTGCTGCTACTGCAACTGCTACTGCGACTAGTACCAGTATCATCATTACTACCACTACAATGTTTTCCACTACCAGTAGTTCATTACAACTTTCTCCACCAGCAATATAACTGCTACCGTTACTACATCATTAGTGCCACTGATACGGCCATTCGTACCACTACCACTATTTTTACTAGAACTACTACTACTACTACTACTACTACTACTACTACTACTACTACTACTACTACTACTACTAGGACGTGCAACGTACTACGTACTACGAACTTCGTATGATGGTCTACGTATTGTAATTGCTACTGTTGCTTCTACTGCTGCTACTACTGCTACTACCTCGAGCGGTGATATTACTACTACTCCTACTCCTACTACTCCTCCTACTACTACTACTGCTACTACTACTACTACTACTACTACTACTACTACTACTACTCTTACTGTTACTATTACTACTACACCCATCAATCTTATTACTACCACTGCTGCTGTTAGTATCCTTCCTATAATTACTACGAGTAGGACTGCTACGACCACGGTTGCTACTACCACTGTTACTTCAATTACCCCGGCTATTCCCATTAATAATCCCACGATTGCTGATGTTACTGGTTTAGCTACTTCTGCCACCGTTACTACCGTTACTACCGTTACTACCGTTACTACTACTACTACTACTACTACTACTACTACTACTACTACTACTACTACTACTACTACTATTACTACTTCTACTACTGCTACTACTACTACTACTACCACTACTTCTACTACTACTACTACTACTACTACTACTACTACTACTACTACTACGATTACTACCTGTACTTAACGACTACTACTGCTACTACTACTACTGCTACTACGACTAGTGCTACTACTATTATGAGTACGGCTATCACATGGACTATTACTACTGTTACGACTACTTTCACGACTAATAGTTCTTTCGCCACTACTATAATTATGTCTACGATGATTGCAGCGATTACTTTACGAATACAACACTCTACTACTGCTGCTGCAACGGCTTCTACTACTCGGATTGTATCACTATGCCCACGGCCAGCACTACTACGACGACGACGACGATAACGACGACGACGACGACGACGACTACTACTACTACTACTACTACTACTACTACTACAACTACTACGACCCTTACCACCACCGACGCCACCACCACCAGTGCTACTACTACTTTTACTATTTAATTCTGCTCCCACATCTAGTAGTAGTAGTAGTAGTAGTAGTAGTGGTAGTAGTAGTAGTAATAGTAGTAGTAGTAGTAGTAGTAGTAGTAGTAGTAGTAGTAATAGTAGTAGTAGTATAGTAGTAGTAGTAGTAGTAGTAGTAGTAGTAGTAGTAGTAGTAGTAGTAGTAGTACGTCACTTTTACTATTACTACTACTACTACTACTACTGCTGCTACTGCTGCTGCTACTACTACTACTACTACCGCTACCGCTGCTAGTAGTATTACTACTACAAGACTACTTCTAGTACTAATACTACTACTACCACCACCACTACTACTACTACTACTACTACTACTACTACTACTACTACTACTTCTACTACTACTACTACTATTTCTGCTCCATTTTTCTTCTATCACTATTGCTACTCCTACTACTACTACTACTACGCCGACCGTAGTGGTCATTCTCTTCGTCGTCGTCGTTGTCGCCTTCGCGGCGGGTTTTTGTTCTGTGTATGTTTGGGCGGGCTGGATGTTATTGGTGGGTTTATTCTCCCAGGTGAGAAGCCATCGTGGCTACCCTACACGCGAGAGGGTTTGTGAGCCTTTTTCTCATGAAGGTTGCAATCGGAATCCGTGTGCGTGTGTGTGTGTGGCTGGAGTCGTGATTATAGTCATGGTCATAATCGTGATTGCAATCGTGATTGTAGTCGCGATTGTAGTGGGGATCTTCGTCGTGTTTGCACTTGGAACCGCAAGCGCGATATGTGTCGTGGTCGTAAGCGTTGTCTTCGTTGTACTGGAGATAATGTCCTTCTTTTTTTGGGCAGACTGGGTACTGTTGGAGGGTTCTTTCTACCAGGGTCTAATGCCCTCTGGGCTACTCTGCACGACAGAGGATTTGTGAGCACGTTTGCAAGAGGATCCTAGTAAACATCGACACATTATTCGCCGAAGGCGTTGCTCACACTTGCTGAGGATGGAGCGTTTGAGGATCGAACTTTTGAAAATAGAGTTTCAGAGGTTGGATTATCCGTGAGAGTGCTCCTGAAGCAGACGTATGAGTAGTCGTCGTAGTCGACGTCGCAATCGTAGTCGTGATTCTCGGCGTCGTTGTTGCGCGGTGGGTTCCGGAAAGAATGATTAGTTTCCGACATTGGTGGGCCACGAATCACTTGACCGTGAATAAGGCCGTCGATTAACAATTGATTATACCTCGTTGGGAGGTTCGACAGACTTGCTGCGGTTATGGGGTCACGAAGCGTGTGACGTGTGTGTTACAGTTGGGGGAGTGACGGGAGGACGAAGGAGCAGGAGGAGGAGGAGAGGAGAAGAGGAGGATGCAGAACACCGTCTTTTCAAAACGAGGACCCAAAAACCTCAACATGGTTGGGAACAAATGCCCCTGTAAGTGGACCGCTCTCGGTCCAACGGATTGCAATATGGTGCGCTGGGTGCTTTTGAGGAGACTATCGCCAGAACGCCTACGGATCGCGCCAGTCAGCCGCGCCGAACGTCACCACCCTTGGGGCGGTCAACATGATGGGTCTGAATGGCGTCAAAGGCACCATCATCTTGTCAAACCTCGCACGAACCTGGCGCCAGGCGGCGCCCGTGGCAGCAACGGTAGTTTCAGAAAAAGGTCCGGTCCTCTGGTGCCCTCCCCATTCGCTGCCGCTTCGCAAGTAATAGTAGGGCCACTCGGGTATCTCAATCGTCTGCATCATCAGCATGGACTTCGAACAAGAGCGTATGCACAAAACAGGCAGGAGGATGTGGATAAGGATGAGGATGAGGATGGGGATGTGGATGATGATGGCGATGATGATGCTGATGATGATGCTGATGATGATGATGATGATGATGATGATGCTGATGACGGTGATGATGATGATGATGATGATGATGATGATGATGATGATGATGGTGGTGGTGGTGGTGGTGGTGGTGATGATGATGATGATGATGATGATGATGATGATGATGATGATGATGGGAATGCTGCTGATGATGATGAGGAGGAGGAGGAGAATGAGGAGGAGCAGCACACGGCAGACAAGACAAGCAAGCCATGCAGCCTGCTCCACAACTACAGCAACCCTCTCCAAAGTATCTGCATCGGCACCGTGCGTGAGGTCGCGCGCGTGCCCGCTACCAGGGGCGGATATGGAGCGGTGTTGCGGGGGGGGGGGGCATCCCTGGATACGTGGGCCCGCCTTCTCAGGCTCTTCTTCTTGGGAGTATAGTTCTAATTGAACTTGCGTTCTCAGATTTTCGTCTTGGGGACTAGGGATGATATTCATGCTTGATCTCGTCATTTTGTAGTTCGCGTGAAAGCCTTGCTACAGCGCAGCATGATTTACGGAGTCTACCACGTGGCCTGCCACTTCGCACTCCGCCCGCCGGTGTCTCGGGCGCCCTCGGGAACAAAGCGTCGTCGACAGACGAACTGCCCGTTAGATTTGG